CAGTCCTGCTACAGATGTTTACCTAGAAGACATATATGGCTAGAATTCTAAGTCGTGGATTGAAAGGTGTGTGTGTGCATGCATGCATGTATTATACACACACACACACACACACACTCCAAACCCCAGATGATTTCAGGTGTTTTTAGAAGTCTTTCTTCAGAATCAGGTTTGCAATAGTAAGCTTTTTTCTAGAAGTCACTGTACACTTTCTGAATTTAGCAGCACATCAATGATTTACTACATATTTTAATCCCTGCTGGAAGTAGAATACGTGTAAAAGGCTTTAAAAAAAACCCAGACATTAGCTTAGAACTTGTCAAAAGCTTATCTGAACTTGCAAATCCTTTGAGATTTCCCTTTAACCACGAGATTTAACTCTACCTCAGTGTTAGTACAATTTTTCTCTGTCAGTATCATGAAAATAAAAAGCCTATAGCCTTGTGCTTAATGACCAATATCTAATCAATAACTTTGCATGAGATTCTTCCATTCCCTTGGAGTCATTAAATTTTGTGAGTACTGAAAGGTTTTACAGAACGCTCAATCTGCCAATCAGTGAAGCTAGTAATGCAATATATCTGATGGATCCATTGCTGCAATACTGTTCCATGCCAGCTATATTTAACACTAATAAGAATATACCATCTCAGGGTACTCTGAAGCTTCTGAACAACCCAAAAAGAATAATTAAGCATTTGTAATTAACTGTAGGTATAAAGGGGTATCACTCTAGGGAACCCTGTAGTGGTAGGGAGTGAGAGGGGGTGTCTGGTCTTGCCTGCTAATATCAAACAAGCGCAGGTTAGGGAAATACCAGAAGAAAGGTGATTCTTAAGCCTTAAATCTGCACAACTTCCAATTCAGGAAAGAGAAAAAAAGCTTCCTAGGAATTCAGTGAATTACACCATCTTCCCTGAGCCTCAGAGAAACAGAAGAAGCTGCCCTACCTGAAGAATTATTTTCTTTAATTAATATTGTTTGGGTGGAGTTTCTCCATGTTTTTATATTGATGCAAAGACGACGACATTTTGGAATGTTAAGTCTCGACTACTGGAGCAATAGTTAACCTGGCTAGTAGGAGGCATGACTAACTTGCACTAAGTCGGTTTCAGGGCATCAGAGATCATATACGTCGATTTATCTCTCATATGTTGATCTTGAAAATAATTTTAACCATTTTTTTTTAAACTATTTGCTCTTACTTCAGAAAATTTTAGCTTTTAGCAACTGATACCATTCATTGTAAGTTATGGCAAGTAGTAAGAAACTTTAGTGTCCTATAATAGCTTTAAAAATTTTTCTAAATCATTTCAGTGGATGGGATAGGACTAGAAAATTTAAACGAATAAAAGAATATTTATATTACTTACCACATGAAGAATTTTATTTTCTGTTTCATACACTGTACAATCCTGTAGCAAAATAAAACAAAAAAAATTAATGCACATTATTTTTAATTTCCTATTAAGAAAGAAAAGAATCCTTTATGCTGGTAAGTATCTCCCATATATTTATGCATGTAATGATCGCTTAATTTTCGTCACATCCAAAAGGTTATTTTGCTCTCTTAGGAACCTTGTGGCTGGTTAACCTGAGGGAAGTATTCTTCCCTTTAAAGTAATAAAAAGACTAGCAACAATACAAATTTAAAAGGGGGAAGGGAACACATTCATGATAGTGAGGAAAAACTGATTATCATTAATCAGGCACATCAGGAATTCACTGATACTCAAGAGACAGAGATACATAGCCTAGCCTCGAGGCAGGCAGGATGCCTGTCAACTGCTGGACAAGCTGCATGTGGTGAAGACAGTTGCCCCACACCCACCACTAGAAATTATTAGTGGTGGTATTATTGTAAAGCATGGGAAGGAAGATGACAAGCAGACTTTTACAAAGGCATTAAACATAGTGTGCCCACACTGTCAGCTTGCTTCACTCCATTTTCGCTTCAAGGCCCTGATTGCCTCAGCCACCAGGACTGAATAAGAAACAACTGCAGTCCCGTTCTTCTGAGAATTCACGTAACTGCTCTTCTCTTGCTCTTTTGAAGGCACAACTCACACCAAACCTGGATGGGAGAAGACACGGGCTTGCTCATGATGTGCATTTGTCCAGCAAAATAACCAGGTTTCACTCTCTTAAGAACAACTCCATCCCACCGTTCCATGACACAATGTTGCTATTAATCAATTTAATTTTTTTTTCCAGGCCTTCTTTATCAACCTCTTTATTTGCTTAAGGCTTATAAACTTCTAGAGCAGTCATTTTCCCATTTTAGTTATCATTTTAAGAATAATGAATCTTATTACTCCATAAGCTAAGACGCGTAAATCAAAATGTGAGTTAAAGGTGTATATGGTATTATCGGTGGCTAGAATATTACTTGCTCTTCAACAAGCCAATCACTCCATGATTTTCTAAAAGAGATCTCAGGGAAAATAAGCCTTAGGGGGAAAAAAAGTTGAAAATTTGCAGATCATAGCAAAGTATCCATCACCATGACAAAGAATACTGGCCTTTCTTTTTCTTTTGCTCTCAGTATTCCTCGGAGGGACCAGGTTTCTACCCAGCAGAGTGCCATACCATATTAACACCAGGAATCATGTTCTTAACCTGGGAGGCCAAAGCCAGTGAAAGCAGTGTTGGACAGCAAACACTACCGCATAGGGACACACGAACGCTTCACAGACTCTACAACAGACTTTTCTAAGGGGAACACGGACAACATCAGGGATCAGAGAGAACTAAGCAAACAACCGTTCCTGCCTCTAGTGCTATTTAATGTTTTGAGGATTTCCTCATTACAGCCCTGCACAAAGTAGGACATAGTCGTGGCAAGGACTCCTTCCCACAGGAGAGAGTCCACGTGCACCAAGGCAGCTCTACCTCCGCTTTTCTCCTACAGGTCAGCACTGCAAACTACCACAAGGGCTCTCAAGCTGTATTTTATTAGGACGTAAATGAAAACAGAGAAAACTGAATTTTGCAAACAGAGAGAAATTAAAACAGAAAAGTCTGAAAACAAATTCAGCTTCTTCCCACAGCAACCTAGGATTTTAGCCTCTTTTTTTCCTCAACCCAACAACTGCCATCAACCTCCTCAGTCACAGCAAAATCTAAGATCTGATAAAAACCCTCCGAACTCCCACCAAAACCTCCCACCTCTGAGGTCGGCCCCAGCCAAAGCTCCTCCACCACCATGCTCCCAGCACACCCTCGCCCCACAGCTCCGGCACCTTCTCTACTGATCATGCGCCTTTCTAAATGGGCATGGAGAGCCCTGGCCTGCTACACCTACTCGCGCCTTGAAGAGTCTCTTTTATCAACCTCCGTGCACATTTCAAATCCCTGGAAACATCCCCCCGGTATCCTGGCAAGCCCCACGTTCAGGGAGTCTGGCGGGCCCAGAGCCCTGCGCGGGAGGGGTTGAGCGCCGCGGGGGGAGGCTCCCCTGGCAGCCAGTGGCCCCCCGGACACCTGGGATTTCTCTCTCTGTAATGCCATACTAACACAGATTATTTACAGTTAAGTGGATCGATACTTACCTGCAGAAAATTAGACTTTGGAAATTGTTAAACACTTCTCCAGATATGATATAAAACACTCTGGAAAAAAAGCTTTCTACAGAGTAAGGTTAAACATTTCAGCATTTGGATACGAGAAGGAAAAATGTTATTGTATTTTTTCCTTGAATAAATTCAAGTAAAGCATAACTCACTGATATACCTAAAAGGTTCCCCTACAACTCTCAAGATTTCCTCTTTCTTGGATACTAATGGGATAGCATTGACAGCGAATTGATTTAAACCGCCTGCAAAATAATTTTAACACTCTCATTGCATTTGTTTTTGAAGTGGATCAGCTACATGATCAGCTTAGGCTGTTGCATTCTTTACGCGAGAAATCACAGTTAACTGGCTCAGCTGCTCATCTTGCCCCGCAGCTCATCTCTGCTGCCACGGCCTATGTGTTATTGCTTTCTCTGGGTGCTGTTTGGAGGAACTTGCCCCTCAGCTGCTCTGTGGTTTCCAGAGCATCTTGAGTCTATTCTAGCCATTCAGCCCAGCGTACAGGCCTGGAGCAGAGGAAATAAACTCACCCTCCCCTCTAAGCGTTACATTGATGTTGAAGGATCAGCATTTTGGTATAGACATTTATTTCTAAATGAATACATTTTTAAAAATAAAGAATATGAAAGTTAAAATCAGAAAATTGTGAATGCCAAGGAATGCAGAGAAGAATTTATATTAGCATTTCATGGTCAAGTATGCCTTTGATGTTTCTTCAGTACTCATACTGTTATTTTCTACAGCACACACACACACACAAAAATTCAATTAGTCAGTCTGGCTGGCACTGCCTAAGGCAGTTTTCCCTACCAGTTTAACACACTTCAAACAGCATATCCGCCATCTCCTTTTAACCCTCCAAGTACCAAGAGAACAAAATGATCACAGCAGGGCTTACAGCCTGACTTCAGAGCTAATGCTCCTATCTAAATTATTCCTTTAATTTATGTGTCAGAAATACAATGTGAACTTCATTCTGAAGAAACTTAATTACTTCAGGTCAAAGAATAGAAGATGTATGTAGAGTAAAACTGAATTTTACTGTTTTGTAGAGCAGAATTAATTTTATCTATATTTCTGTTGCATATTCAAATTTACATTAGCATTAAAAATGTTAATAGTTTTGGAATTCCTTCCAAAATATATGCATACTGACTTTTTTTTAAATACCTCAGACTAATTTAAATGAGGAGTTAAAAGCACTTGCAAATTGTACTAACATATTAAGATATGTAGGTCACAATACTCTTCTGATTTATTTCTGATACATAGCAATGCAGTAGGGATCTCATTTGAAAAAAAACAAAAACCAAAAACTTCCAGGATTAACATTTATAGGATTTTGGTGTATTTTTCTCTCAGAAAATAAATAATCCTTATAGTGACATTCTTTTCCAATCTTCCATTGGTAGATGATATGTTACAAAGTGTATTTTTCCTCGGAGTTTAAAAAATTTAAAAAATATTAGTAGCTGCAGTCTACTTCTTCTCTATAAAACAGTAAAATACAAAAAGTACAGAATAGTAATAGCAACAGCATTATATTCAAGCCAGCTTCTGCACTAGCCAGAACATCCTACATGGGCACTATACACCTTCACAACTTTGATACGGTAAAACACCATGCTTTTAAATATTCATAAAGAGAAAAGATCAGTAAGACTTATGCTCACCAGCACTATATTCATAATTTTAGACAATAATTCTGAAAGAAAAAAATGCAAGTATTACTGAAAATGTATGCAGACCCCAATCAAATCTAAGATTGATTTATGACAAATCATAAAGACAGTTAACTAAAACATATAAATAGTAATAGATGTAAAATATGCAGTACAGTAACTTACTGTAACTGTACAGTTACAGTAACAATAAAACAGCATGAGTTAAGTCAACTACCAAAAAGAAACAGACACCCTATAAAGGAGCAACTCTGAAGAGAACTTAAAGCTTTGTCCTGTTTGCCAGTTGAATGCCATTTCCCCATATAACACTGCAGTTGGGAGCTACTGCAGTCTTTGAACTGTGGATATAAGAAAATGACATTTAAATTATATTTCTTGTGTATGCAACATTAAACATACTTCTGGAATTCACACATTAAAAAGAATAGTATTACTTCTAATTAGTTAAATGTAGACTGGAAAATACACTAAAGGAACTCACTAAGTTTAATTAAGGACTTGATCATAATCTATATTTAGAAAACAGTGAACAGATGTTGGATAGCAAAATGTTCTTTAGTAAACACAGGCAAAACAAGATTATGGGGCTGAAAGCTGACGTCTGTAAAGTTCATACTGAAAATAACACCCATGCTTTTAACAATGAAGAAAATTGCTGAATCACTGAATAATTCAGGTGGAAGGGAGCTCTGGAGGTTATCTCATCTGAACACCTGCTCAAAGCAGGGCTAACTTCAAAGTAGACCAGGTTCAGGAGACTATTAAGGGACATCAAAATTCTCCATCAGTTGGAATCTGCACTAGACAGCCTTCTGAAAGATATGCTTCATCCTAACCACAAATTATTTGACTAAAACAGGGTAAAAAAAAAAAAAATCTATGACATGATCTCTAAGTTTATCTCAATAGGGCTATTCAAACATGGATAAAGAAGAGAACAAACAAGAGTGCTTGGCTTTTGTTGGAAATAAATTAGCCTGAGATGTGATGATGTTCTTTGATAAGACACAGACAAACTTTTATTTAAAGAATGTTTGTTCATGCAGTTTGATGCACATGATAAAGACTTTATCACAAGCTACAAACATCTTTAATGTATCAGAAAAATATCAATCAGAAAAACATCTACTTCTAGAACCAGTGAACTCTTCTTACCATAAAGGTAAGAAAAAAATAACCAACCGATGTGTTTTAAGAACAAAATCTAAGTCCTGTTCTGCCCCAGTTATTCCAGTTATCCTTCCCCAAATGTAATCTTGCTCTAGAACTTGATCAAATCACAATTCAGTGAAGTTAGTTTGATGGAATTGTTTTCAGATCAAAAATGAGAAGTAATGTGTTTCAAAGCTAGAGTCATTATACTTGGAAACTAAGTCAATGCCCAAGCATTTGCAATACTCTGATCCTGACCTCATATCATGCAGTTTTGGTACCTTACCGTCAACACATCTTGATGGAACATCGTACCTCAAAATCAGGATGCCTCAATGCACCTGCAGTGTTGTACATAATGATATTCTTTTATAATTTCCCTACTTTTTCTAGTGAAGGCGAGATGGCAAGGGATAAGAGAACTGAGTAGAATAAAGTAGGTTCCTAAGCATACATGGACAGGTATAAACATTCTCTAAAACTAGAGAAGATCAGCTGCAGATGTTGCAGCTGGCATAATAAGATTCTACTCACAGATAAACAAGCAACTGCTCACGTATCACAGCATTTACATGCCATGTAAATAATAATATACAGCATTGCAATTCATATACTTTATTTAAATTTTTAATGAAGATCTCATCTTCATACTCATATAGAGAATGAGATCTAAATGGTAAAAAACTTACCTCCTTATTACATTTAAGATTATGTCACTCAGATGCATACAGTATGTCCTAGTGAGAAAATCCATAAGCAATGGCTATATTAGTTAAACTAACATTACACAGTGATGGCCCCTATTTAGAAATAATTTCACCTTGAGTGCCAGTTGCAAGTTATGTACAAAAAGCATGTTAATTTTGCACAAAGTAAATCTTTAGATTGAAGAAGTTTGTCACTAAACTTGGCAAATACATGGCAATGAGTGTTACTTTTGCTCTAAATTAGACATGTAAAAATTCATATTAGTCACAAAACAGATCATAAATAGTATCTGAAAGGATCCAGATTTCTATTGGTTATGCCTTTCAATTTGTGTTTTAGGCTACAGTTAAGACTGCAATTCTTGTTTAGGTGAGACATCTCTGCTTTTGCACGTTAAGATCAAATTGCCTCACCTTTAGTAACAGCAAAATTGTATGTCTATGAATGACTTTGTTTTATCTAGTCTTTTTGGTGCTTCTGAGTTTAATATGCTGTAAAAGATATCAATAGATGGCTATCAGACAACTCAGAGCTGAAAATAAGATAAGAAAAAGCCAAAGCTTGACTCCATTTGTCACTCACCTGAAAAACTAGCTAAACATTTTTCATTTTGAAATGTGTCGGAGTTTATGCTAAAAGATAGATTGGTTTTAAGTTCTCAAAAGGAGGACAGCTTTGGGAGTGAAGTGGAGTTGAAGAACTGAGAAAAAAAGAGCCAAACTATTGCTGCACCTCTGCCAAAAGCCATCGAACAACAGAAACAAAGACAACAATTCCAACTGAAAAGATTTTCACCTTGACTACAGGGAAAAAAATCAAAATTCTCACAAAGTGCTGCAGGGCAGAATCAGAATGCAACCTTTGTACACCGTAGAGGAATTTGTTTTGCTTTGTCCGTAAATCGAAAATAGCCTGGTGTCATTAAGCTTTCTCTTATAAGCTGTTTATAAAGATCCATAAATAAGATTACTACCTAGGAGTTTATAAAAAAAAGAATAGAGAAAAAGGATCTTTGTTTTGCACTGCAAAAATGCATAAAGGACAAGGCAGACACCAAAATTTCTGAAAAGGAAAGAAAGCTGCATATTGTAAAGTAAGGATAATGGCATAAAATACAAATAATTAAGTTTATTGCCCTAGTAGGCTGGGACAAATGCATCTGTTATTTTTGGTTCTTGCAAAAAAAATATAAACTAAATTGAAAAAAACAAACCTGAAAGTTCACAGAAGAATACTACTCCAGGAAGCCTTTTAATTTAAATGAGTTCTACGATTGGTTCACTCTGAGGGTGCACGAAGAACTGTGCCAGCACAGGGTAGAGGCAGGTAATGTACATGTTTCTTTTGAAGATAGTGTCAGTTTAACGAGCTTACAAAACTACAGGGTTAGCTGATCTTTCTTCTTGCTTCCTTTCCTACAGTACTGTCTGTACTCCTCCTCTTTCACTTTATACCAAAACCTGTTCTCCTCTAACCTCTCCACTTGTTCCAACAACACTATTTTATCTTATCCACATTTTCATCTATTCACAAGAGGAGAAGCTTACCCTAAATATTTGCAAAACTAGTTTCCATTCAGTCTTTCTGAACCTGTCACAGCTTGTCTTATTTCAGAGGCAGACACTGTCAGAGACTGCTATTACTTGTATATTATATAGCAACACAGAACCAGATAAATGACCTGTGGTGTACTATACTACCATTAAGTAATGAATGGCAGTAATAACCTTTATTTGCTCCAGATTTGATCTTACTGCTATGAATACTTCATGTTAGTCACTAAACAATTTTTATGCAGCTTCTAACTGGTTTGGCTCCCCTTCAAGTAAAGAAGCCATAATACAGGTTCTGAAAGTATCTGTAAGTATTGTAAGAACAGGTCCCTGAAAGATTTTTGATCAGTCACATTTCAATCTGTAATAAATTGATGGTAGCAACTAAGCTCTTTGCCACTGAAGCTTTTTTCTTTTGTGTACTGCCTCCACAGTGATAGACTGTTAATTTCTGAGTGGACAGTTTGATGTTAAGTGGACTATTTTTATCTACGTACTACCCTTCAATCTATCCAGGCATATGATAGCAGACAAAGTCCAAAAATCTTCCCATCCCTCCCAGAGAAAGAGAATACATAATTAACAGGTAACCCTAAAACAATTTTTCTGGTGAAGTGAAAACAATGTTTTTGCTATTGTGATTTTTCAGCAACAGTATGAAGAGGACTTGGAAGGAGCAGAAGATATACCATTCCTACCTGTTGCACAATGGTTGTTAGTTCCAGGCACAGTTGAACAATGTTGTTTTTCAGCAGTGAATATTCTGTCACACTGACAAATGGAGACCTGTCAGAAAGACAGAGTAGATTCGTACAGTATTAAGGATACAAATCCTTTTTATAGTATAAGTAGTCTTTAAAGAGACTTGTGGTTAGTAAATTTGTTTTCATAAAGGCAAACTTAATCAGGTCAGCTAAAGATTTTATGGTTTAATCAGAAAAAAAAAATCCCAAAATAATGAATCTATTTTTCAATAACATAGTCTTACTGGTTTTTTTGGAGTCTTCAGAGACACTATAAAAAGTATATGCTGTACAGAGAGAGATCAGTTCTACACTGCAGAAATGTCAATCACCTAATCATGACAATCTCCAGCAGCAAGTTACACAACTTTTATAAAGTATGCTTTTGAAATAAGAATCAAGGTAGGTAGCAAGAATAAAAAAGGGAATTGTTCTTGTGGAAAGTAAAATATGATGCTCCAAATAATTGTAAGTTCTCATTATTTCATTTTTATGGTCCTTTCAAAAGACAGCATTTCTAGTATGACATCATTCTTCAGAAGCGGTTAGCACCTTAATTCAGAAAGTAAAGTAATGTTTAGTTAGCTATGACAGCTTTCTGCAAGCCAGGATTTTCTTCAGGCTTTCCAAATTCTAACTGAATTCTGACCCCATTTGAATTTATAAGAACTGACAAGGTCATAGCCTGAGAGAATATGACTGCTGGCATTAGGTTAGGAAGATGTCACCAGAATTATACATACCCTAATGAAGGAGAGCGATTTACTCTAACTGTGATTTCTAAGGTGCCATTTATATGACACCAAGAGCATTTGGATTCCAGATAAAGCTATCCATTGCTATAACGCCAAAAAAACCCAGAAACTAAAACATAAATTTTATGTTTTGCTTTCTGTCTTCCTACAGTGAAGATTTTAACTATGTTTATTCAGAGAACTACTCATAATCCAATTCTCAATTCATAAATGAAAAAGAACAGTGGTTAGTTATTGAGCATTAACCAACAGTACAGCTGTACCTAATGTATCAAACCTATTGATAAAAACTCTAATAAGAAACCTTTCATTTTCAGAATAAGCAAGTACTATCACTTCTTTTGAATGCTCTTTAATTGATTTAGTTCAACTCCAGCATCTCTTTTTGTAAATCTTTTTGCTGAGTGAAGGACGGTTCAAATTCCATAACCTTTTCTTACTTCCTCTCCTTTCTGATATTGCCACTGATGCTACCACTTGTGGCAGTGATTTGTCAACTTGGAATAGCACAAAAGTATTTATTTTGCACAAAATACTATCAAACTCAAAACAATCTGAACAAGTAACTAGAGAAAACTTTAACGTTCTCCTGCCAGGAAAGGCTGGCACATTTTGCCTGCTACTATTTGAGAAATTTACAACCCAGAACTTTCAGTTAGAATTCCAAACCTGCCATTTTAATACTAGGAGAAAAAAAAACAGTACAAGAGAAAAAGAAGGAATAAATACAGAAAATAGAAGGAACTATTCTCACGTGTAAAGGATCAAGGAGTACTAAATTACCTGTCCAGCCAGGCTAGTAAGTTCTTTGCAGCACCAATCAGGTCAACTACAGAGGTAAGAAAATCATTTGGCAGTCGTCTGGAGGCCCTGCCATCATAATGGCCACTCCTCCTTCTACCCGTTATAAAATTCTGAAGATTTTTAGCTGAGGCATTCAGCTTGTGAGAGAGTGTCCTAAGGTTTTCAGTCTCCAAACCATAATTCTGGGGAGAAAGAAGAATACACACAGTTAAGTGAAATATTGTGTTCTCAGCTACGTGAACAAAACTGTGGGGTTAAGCAGTCCAAATTTTATTTGGCTTGGACAAAGGAAAGAATAGGATGGGATGGGATGGGATGGGATGCCTGGTGTGACACTAAGCAGCAGGCTACTTTATTTAGAACATACGTGATGCATCCATCCTTTTTAGCATCCTTTTGGGTCAACACCCAAAAAGTTAGAGTTCCCAAACCCCTTATGTTCAACAAAGTCACTGAGGAGAAAGTATACGGAGTCCTCATATGCTAGGTCTCAAGGTCTCTCCCATTTTGAAGAAGTGAAGATGAGGCAGTTCACTATGCCCATACTTCTTGCTATGGTTCAACGTTAACCAACTACTTAGTATATCTGTTACCTCTAAGATCAGGTCTTAGGTGGTCCCACTGCACTGGATCCCACTCACTGAGACTTGTGTCAGTTCTACTGACTTGTAAAGAGTTAGCCTTCTTAGCAGAGCTTCCTTTTTATTTATGCTGTGAATAAGGTATAAAATCTTATATGGCCTTTGCCATGTAGACCTTTACGGGAAAATTCCTTCCTGAACCCTACTTCTGTGGGTGAACAGCTATCCTGTAACATAGCATATGATGAGAACAGTCAAATTAGGTCAGATCAGAGACTTGGTAGTCCTGTCTCCGATGGCTGCCTAGGGAAGCACACGAGAACAAAGCAGGCATGTAGTAACAGCTATTGGTGATTCAGAGACTTCAGCCAGTGATAGTGTACTTGTTTAACAGTCCTTAATGGATTTTCTAACATTGTCTAAATCTGATGGGCTTTTTTGAATCTAGGTAAGTTTTCACGTTGAAGACCCTTTTTCCCTTCATCCATATCTTTTCATCCGTGTCTCTATGTTCTTTTATCACCCAGCCAGTTCCCCACTTAAACATAGGCAACACGCACAAAGATATCTGAGCGTAAAGATACTAAATAATTCACTTGGATTCACATAGGAAGTCTCAAACAGACTGAATTGAATCCACATCTTTTGCTGCCACAACAGCAGGCAGTATTTGTAAGAATTTAAGTTAAAATAAAATCCCAATTACTTAATTTACTATTCATAAGCACTTAAACAAAATCAGCTTTCAGATTATGAATTGACTGACCACTATTAATTTCAATAATACAAATGTAATAGAGGATGAGTGATCATCAATATCACATGGCAATTTCCTGCCCAAAATTATTTCTCAAAAGAGAGAGTAAAGCACAGCAAACAATAAACAATCTTGCTGAATGCGAATATGGATAATTGTACAAAGAATAATTGTTTCTAATACCAAAAAGGGAAAACGTATTGAATAATGACAAGCGTATGAATCTGGTTGAACGGAATCATACAAAATACAAACAAATATTTAGTAAAATTGTTTTCCAAGTTTGAACCAGTTAGATCTGTTGCATAGGTCCTGGCCCTCTCTGAAAGCCCTTCCTCCTCTCAAAGTTCACTCTTTGAAACAAAAATAGACTTTAATAATAAAAGAAAATCAAACCCATCCCCTCAGCCTGGAGTTCAGCTTACGAGGAATGGAAACACTTTCCTATGCTATTGGTTAGCTCACTGCAAGGGACTTTGATTAAAAATAACTTTAAATACTAGGGACAAAATTCATTTGTGTCATTATTATATAGATACCTTGTCTAAAGCATCACAGTTGATCAGTAAGGCTTGGAAGCAAACTTAAGACTGAATAGTGAAGCAAATGAAAGTTTATATTGGCTTAGCTACAGAAGAAAACAGTTCTCTTCATCTTTTTTCCAAAACGAGTATTGTACAGTAAACAACAGCTTCACTAAAGTAAAGCATTCTATTTTTGAAAAGCTTGTAGTTAAGAAGCAAATTGTGCTTGATATTAGTATGCCATCTGCTTAACATTTATGCTTTCCTTTGTTAAAACTCTGAAGGAATACCCTCCCCTCCCTTCTTCCTCTCAATTCTACTTGTGCCAAGATAATACCTAAGTGGATGTTTCATGATGTCTTTACCAGCTGCAGACTATACTAAGTCAGGTTTTCTTTCCCCTCAGGAAGAAGGTGATCTTGTACACTCAGCAACACATTACAATGATTATAAACCAGATCCTCCTGTTTTTATTTCCAAGCCCAGCCTTGCTTATCCCTGGGGTAAGAAGCAGAAACTGTTTCTGCCAATAATTCATTATTGCATAAAAGCTCTGGGAACCTGTCAGTTTACTTTCAAGAAAACCCTAAGAAATGGAGATAGCTATGACCAGTGCAATTACTGAAAGTGAGTATACCTTCACCTGTGAGTAAATGCCTGAATTTAAAGGAGTGTAGGCTAGATAGTAGTAGAGTATTCCACTAGAGCAAATTTTATACTCTTGTTTAAGTCATTGGAAAATACATAAAATTGAACAGAAAATGTGTTTGAGGAAATCCATCTAGTGAGCAAGTTGTTTTATCTTAAGCTTTCGTAATTAACATGCCAATGGCAACTTCAATTAATGTCAATATAAAATTTAAAACATAGCAAAACATAGATAAGATAACGTCCATAAAGATAATCAGGAGATGAAAGGAAATTATTTAGCACAGTAAAAGTGCTGATGCAAGTCAGTGATTTAGCTAAGATTTCATCAGACACAGCAAAGAGAAAAAAATTAAATATTACAGAAATGACAGTGAATCAGTATCTCTGTAGAAGACTATTGTATTGGCCTAAATTTAAGGTTGCCCCAAATCTCAGATCTTAATTTTTAAATTAAGAAAAAGAAGAAACAATTCCATTCCATTTTCCATTTTAAAAATAATCCTCAAAAGTATCACCTCTGGGCGTATCATTCTGATTTACGGCACCAGAGCTCACCTCCTGTCAGCTGCATGTGCTTCTCCACCACCTGCCTTCTCCTGATGTGCTTGCCAGGCAGAGTCCTGATGCTGGCCACAAAGCCCTTCAAGCCCCACTCTGGTGGTACATAATAAAACTACTGAAGGAAGCTAAGGCCCCTTTCAGTCTTCCCTAGTCAGGAACTGATTTGATGAGATAACGGGGCATAAAAAAGGATTGTTCCAGAGGACAAAACAGCAGGCAGGTGGTTACACACATACATTTGAACTGCTTCCATTATTCAAGCATATTGAATGTGCTTGAAGACAAGGACAACAAAAATTGTGGTTTGTGATAATGAGTAAGTATTTAGGTAACCTCATTCTGTATACATGACAGTGCAAATATTTAGATCTCTTCTAATTCCTGTAGGCATCTCATGTGCATGATGCTAACTGAGATAGTCTCAAACCTGCCAGATTTAATCATCATCATGGCTACCATATAAGACCTCAGTTCTTACAGCTATACACAGCTGTGCTCTCAGTGCTAAAGATGCAGTTTTATTGTGAGATACACCGTAACAAGTAAGCTCCTGAGCCTGTAAAATTCTAACTCCTAGCAAGTAATTTCCTTCTCTGCAGGATAAATCCTAGATATAATTCCTGCTTTAAAAAGAGCCCCCAAAACCTCTAAAAGGGTCAAGAAAGTGCTATTAATATATGCACGACTATTTTTCATACCAGGAGTAGGAAAAAAATACAACAAAACCAAACTAAATCCACCACTGAGGTTTGCTCCATTCTTTGTTTTCATTTCATTCTTGCTAAATCTACTATATTGGTGGCAACGGATATACCAGGTTTGGACAATGAATACAGAGTATCAGAGGGACTGCAAACTCTGTCTTATGAGAACTGCACTGCCATGCGCTTTGTCACATTATTGCAAAATCTGGATCACGAACACTTTAGTGAGAATAGAAAAGAGTAGACCTCCCTTGCTTCATTTCAGTAAAGTGGGCTTGACGGCTATATCGTAGGAGGGTTAACTGCTGTAAGACAGGCAAAAGTAAGAACAAAACTTGAACACAAGAAGCTGTGGCTGGCAAATCCATTAAACGTTAACTTAAGCTTTTTCATATAAAAGCACTATTCAAACAGTAAGGTAATTTTTGTGTCCGCTTGGTGTAATATATGGTAGCATCGTTAGCGTCACATAAAAAAAAGTTACACAAGGCTTATTTCATTTGTTCAATGATATACTGATTCAGTAGTATATTTTAGATGGCAGCTCAGCAATTCCTAATGCCAAATCCAATGATAAGAGATGGAAAGAAGGGTTTCAGGAGGTGAAAATTAAATGCAAATGTGAGAGCAGAGCCAGACTGGCTTATTATAGGAAAATATAATTAGCAATAAGGCCTAGATGGCACTGAGCTTAAAATGACACTTCCCAGTGAGCTGCACAACCAACTTAGATTTAAGGATAAGCCTGCTTGTTGTCTATAAAATATATTTTTCAATTTTAGCAATTTCATCCTTCAAGAATATTCTCCTATTTTCAAATCTATCAAAGAGGGTTCCTCTCTGCCCTCTAAGCGCCCTGCTCCTCTTCAGTTTGAGATGTCCACTTCAGCCTTGTTCCTAGTGATCAGCGTAGGATGGAAAGAGCAAAGAGAAAGTACAGATTGACTCCAGGGCTTTTGCAGCTGACTGTTTTTTTGAAGTAAAGAAAAAACAGGTGGCTGTTGTCAGAAGTGCTAGAACAGTAGAAGACTGGAGAGAAAACCAGGGTTTTTTGAACAACTTGAAATAAACTGTAGTTTTCACTACTGAGATTTTAGTTGCTTTTAAAGTTGAGTGAAACATATGATGTAAGTTCTTGAATATTCCATATAATGAAAAATGCATACTGGAAATTGAAAAATAGGAAATCCACATCCAAAGATATATTTCTTCCTTTTCACCTTATAAATCCAAAACATGGGCATAAATAACAGAATGCACTGTAACACTGAGCCCTCCCCCTCTGTGCCTGTATCACAACTCCAGCTGAAAATTGCACTTGTTTTGTCCCCACATTCTGGTATGAAAGTTCAATTTTTAACTGAAAGTGACAAAACTGAGTAAATTTTTTATCCATCTGACAGT